TCACTTTTATATGAACTCCAATTTGCTCATAGCTATACATGTCACTTTTCATCATTTAACCCCAACTTATACATATCTTTATAGAAAAGAGAAAAAGTCCCAGGAGAGAGTATTTGCCCACAAGCGCTGAGAAACCCCTTGTCTTTCTAAGACAGACAGAGATACCTAAACAGGGATGTTTACATCCTACCAGTTTCTGTGGCCTCCGATTCCTTGACACTTCCAACCAGTGCCTTCCCTACTCCCCTTTCCTTCATCCTTCCTAAACTACACCAGCTTTGACAATCAGAAATACAAACCGAGAAAGAGATCCATCCCCATAAGGGGGAGATCACTTGAGAAATCCAGAAGGGGCTCTCCAAATGCAGTGACCTGCACTGTGGGGACCCCTCTGGTCCTACCCCAATGAACTCCTCTGGAGACTGGAGGCCAGCAGTATCAGCACAGACACCACTTACCAGGGGCTCACCAGATGCTGGCCTTCAGCTATATGCAGGCACTACAAGAAGACGCTGAGCAGGCCTGGTCCTGAGCAATGGTCCTGGGACTAAAAAGGACCGTGAGATCCCATGATAAAATTCACGCTATTAGAAGTCCTCTTATCCCACCCTTGAAACCCTAAATACACTTTATCACTGAAACATTTATGGGAAACTTTCCTGATCTGTCACAAAACACTCTGCTTTTCCTTTATGAGGATGCCGTTTTAAAATGTGCTCCTGTTCTTTAAAACAACCCGGCCGCATGGGTCTTCCCGGCTGCGCAGGCCTTCTCGAGTTGCGGTGCGCGGGCTTCTCCTGTCGGGGAGCAGAGACTGTAGGTGCACGGGCTTAGTGGCCCCAAGGCATGTCAGATCTTCCCGGACCAGGGATCGAACCCGCCTGTGTCCTTTCACTGACTGGAGAGTTCTTAACCACTGGACCACCGCGGAAATCTCATTTTTTGTTTCCATGTCTATTTTTCCTAGTAAGACTGCATGCTCCAGGAAAACCTCAGCTGAATCACCAAATACCTAGAATAGTGCCCAGCACCAGCACTCTAGAGTGGATGTAAAGAAATGACCAAATTCTGAGATTCTATTAAAAAAATACTGGTCAATAGGTTTTGAGGGGTTAAACGAGCTTTCATGTGCCTACTAACCTACCTACTAACCTAGGGGGCTTCCCAGGTGGCTGAGTGGAATCCGCCTGCCCACACAGGAGATGCAGGTTTGATCCTGAGTCAGGAAGATCCCCTGAAGAAGGAAATGGCAACCCAACTTCAATATTCTTGCCTGGAAAAGCCCATGGGCAGAGGAGACTGGTGGGCTACAGTCCACAGAATCGCAAAGAGTTGGACATAACTGAGTGAGTGAGCACACACATACTCACCTATCCACTGAACTTGTTTCTTTGAAATGATCTCTATTTCCAAGCTATCTATTTATGGAGGGACACATACCATAGATCTGTTTATACTGCTCTGTATTTTTAGGTCTAAAAGAGTCTTAGCCCAGAGACCTTAATTTGAATGATAGTGACTAATAGTGAAGCTATAAGACCTACAACAGGCCTTTAACCTCTTTAAGCTTCTTTAAGTTTCATCTTAACTTCTTTAAGTTTCATCTTTAAGCTTCTTTAAGTTTCATCTTAACTTCTTTAAGTTTCATCATGAAAAAGGGTGCATGGGGAGGAGGGGGGAAAGGTAAAAAAAGGCTACTTTGAGTATTAAATTCATCGAATGCTGTGTTGAAGTGCCTCACACTAGGAGTCCATTGGCCCCACACCATCTCCCTTTAATACTCCACGTGCTTTTCTCTATACCACAGTTGAAGGTTGAAACCAAAGTTCATTGTTATGCTGTACCTAACAAATTAGCATAAAGTGCTTCATACACAGAAGGATTACTCATTCCAAATACTGTTATGGATATGGAAAAGATGTACAATGTCCATGAATTGTTCTGAAACATGATGTTGCTACACGCAATTAGAATATTATAGTACGGCCATATCAAACAATTTTAAATATCAAACACACGGCAATATATTCTCACATTCTCATGGCAGCTATGTTCCCTGTCTTCACTCATAGTTTGAGTTGTGATAATCTATGAAGAAACAGATTTTCTTCTCACTTGCAACTTTAAATGGCTATTTCATACTAGAATTCCCCTCACTGCAGATTAGTTTGAAATTCTAAGCACACGTTAGATCCAACTATAGCAGATACTGAAATGAAACTTCATTAGTCAAAAAAAATCACACTCTGCTCTATTTGCATATCTAAGTTCAATTTTCAGAACTTTAAATTTAAAATCAAGGAAAAAAGCAATATGAAAATATAACCTCACAAAATTTACATACTACTCTATGACCTTGCAAAGACATTTTTTGATCCTCAAACCTGTCACATAAGACAATGACCTCTAGATAATTAGAACAAAGTTGCTCACTAACTATTCAGAGAGCATTGTTTTAAGATTTACTTAGCACTTTAAATTAACCATCTTAAAGCTTTGAAGCACAAAGTAACAGTCAATGACACATATATTTTAAGCTACCGTGACCTGTCATTAGAGTCATTAAGTAATATTTTCAAGGAGTAAGCAGAAAGCTTTATAACCTTCAAATATATGACTATCTTCTGCACTTTAAGCTGAGTTATTTGAATATTTAAAGCTATACTTCATAAATTATAAAAATCACCAGCAACTTTCAGCATTCTTTCCCAAAAATAAAAAGCATGAATTAACTGTTAAAAAGCAATATGGAAACAATAATCAAATTCAGACTCTGTGTATATGTATTTACACACACACACAATAAAATAATTTAGAGGCTGGCTAGCTTAAGGCAAACTTTCTTCATTAAAAAAATAAACCTAAATATTTATTGTTACAATAAAGAATTAATTTTCAAATTCTAACATTTTTCTGGCCAAAGTGATTTAAAGTAAAATACCTTCTCTTTATACTCTGTTTCCTAACTGTAAACTTTCATGAAAGAACCAATTTCAAAAACTGTATAAAATAAAATGATCATCCAGCTCAAATCTATACAACTCTTAACTCTGATCCGCCCCTCTGTTGACATTAGTGAGTGCTGTCAACCGTACACACACAACTCTCCCACTGTGGCAACAGAAAAAGAGGGAAGACACAAGATTTGGCTCCACTTAGACTTATCTATGGTTATCTACACACAGCTTAAAGACAGAGATTAAATAGTTAAGCAGGATCTGAAAGCTAAGTAACTTTCCACATTTCCCATACTATCTCTTCTTTGGCACTCTGAGTGCATTATTCTGTAGAATACTATAAATTCCCAGAACCAAATAAAATTCAAAGAAATTTGAAAGTTGGCTGGAACCGAGAAGTTGCCTTTTCCAGACCACCTAATTTAAAGATGTGAAGACTGAGCTCTCCTGTCTTAAGAGGGTCAAGGCCACAGTCCCGCCTTCCTTCTGCTCTTCTTACTGCCCACAGGAACGCAGGTGTGGACATTAAAACATCGATACAATTCAAAGATAAATTCTTCTTGGCCATCTGCCATTCTGAACCACCACCACCACCACCATTTGTTCTGAAGAGAATCTGAGAGTTAAATGTACTTCACGTGGTAACTAAAGTAGAAACAACTCCAGTTCTTGGTCTCCCTTCTTGCTCTGGGAGCCTCCGAGGAACACAGGATTAGGAATAACAAGATGATCAATGGGTCTTTTATCTGCCTTTCATCTTCTCTTGTGAACAAAACCCACCCTGCTCACTCCATCACCTCTTTTTACTATGATCTGGTCAATAACCTCCTTTCTTCATCTAACAGAACCCACAGTGAAAAATATATCCACCAACAGCCATCACTTTCCTACGGCAAACTCCTATCCTTTCTCCTACTCTGAACATTCTAAATATAGTTCACATCCCGGCTGTTTCTCATCTTGCTGTCTTTGCAGACTCCTAAGTTCCAAAGGCATGTTTCTGTTGTTTTATTATGTGGTGTGACAAGGAAAAGAGTTCTTCTGACGACAACCACAATTAAAATGAGATTCAGACGTGCTACCATGTGCAAAAGCGCTCTGCAAACTGAAGTTTCAGATATGAGCAGTGCCCCTAGTACACTACAATAATCAAGCACTCCTAATTGCTCATAACAACAGAAGAAGGGAAAAGGTTTTGAGGAAATGACAGCCCACGTTAGAGATTTAACTGATCTTAAAAGAAATTAGTCTTCTGATACAACCCAGAAAGGAAAAACAGTAGCGCCTAGCATTCAGCAAATCATGTATTTCAATGGTTGTTTTAAACTTCTACTTAAAAGAAGTTTAGAGGTTTAATGAATGTATATTTCTAAAACGTGCTCAACTTGAGAACAAATTACCTTCATAAAGCAAATTCTTTATTGCTACCTTTGGACACAACGATTGGCTGTCTACCAATACACATGATGAAAACCGGCTAGCTTAAAAATACATGTAGAATTAAAGTCAAATTATTACACCTTTCTGAATGCGGTCCTTATGTGCCTGAGAAACTTAGGCATGACACAAACAAGATTCTAATTTGTTTAAGTCAACATAAAAGAAACTCTAATCAAAAGGGCTAGTGAAACAAAAGAAAACTCGGTCTTCTAACAGCTTAGTTCTAAATTAAAACATACATGTTCGGCCTGCACAGAGTAATTTTTTGCACTGCCAAATAAACATTCATCTAAGGATGAATACATCCACCAAAATTTAAATAATATTGAGAATATAGTGTTACTCCTATTCAGTAAGATCAGCAAGGCTTAATGTACAGCAGTTAAATTATACTGGATACAAATAAACGAACTCCATCCAAAAAAAGCTGTCTTCGGAAATATCAATATTTTGTCCAAAAAAAAAAGAAGAAGAAGAATCCCTTTCATGACAATACAAACTCACTTTAATCAGGATGAAAAAGAACTCTAAAGAAAACAGTTGGTGACTCTGCACTTTATTCATGCCTTTGTTTTTTAGGCCATCTAATGATGCACAGCACAATCTCCAAATAAAAGATGCAAATCAAACATATCCAGGGAAGGACCACATCATGAAACTGTACTCCATTCCTGTATCTTCATTCTGCTTTCTCCATTTCTACAGCCAAAAAAAGCAAGCATAGCTAATATCTATATGTTTCCCTTAATATTTTATAAAAAATCATTCTAAAAAAAATGTTTAAGCCATGTTGATAATTATAATTTAATGAGGTATGGCATCATCTTTAAAATGGCACTCAGTAAAATGCCTTATTGGGCTGGATGAAGCAGAGGTAACTTAAGCTAGGTCTCTGTTATTATAATAAGCCAATGACATCTCAACCAAATCTCATAGTTAAGCATTCTCCTTCAAGCCTCAGTTCCTTAAAATGAAACAAAAAATTTTAAAACAAGCTCTTAAGTAAACAGTTTCTAAGATAAAACCACCTTTACGTTCCCTTGAAGGATAAAAAATTTTTCCTACATAATGTTGACCTCAAACTGGTGCATCTGTCTCCAAGCACTGTCAGGTTAACAGTTAACAGAAACTATTTCAATATTCTATAAAATTAATTTAAAGATTAGGACTGGTCATTTGTCTTTATGTGCTACTGAAAGCCTTTTATTCAAACACAAATGCCAGTAAAACATTTAGATATGAAACTTTGAAACTCAGCTCTATTTACATAAACTGAGGCAAATTACAAACAATGCTCCCACAGATGTTTGTGAAATATTCCTTATTTGTTTTTACTTCAGCCCTGTCACTATCCATCAAACTGTAACCTAGCTTTACATCAATTTCACTACTTATTAATAGCTCTCGTCAAAATACACATGAACAGAATTCACTTAAAAAGAATAAAGGTAACATGCTAAAGACAAACTACTACAATCACTCAAGAATATATACAGAAGCGCCAAAAATATAACTGTAGCCATAAATGATCTAACTGCTAAATCAATGAATGCCCAGGCAAATAACATAAGAAAACTGAGTGTTGTCTTTTACCTCAAATTCCAACACTCATAAAGCATAAAATCAATAATATACGATAAACCTTAAGAAATCATGATTGTACCCCAACATACAACCAAAGGTTAATCACAGCATCTGAATTACCAAGGGAAAAAGATCATAATTAAAAAGACTCACTTTATATAGTATCTTGCACCTTCAAAAGTATATGCTTCTTCCCAGCCAGTCGGCAAATCTAAAAAACATGTATTTCACAATCAGTATTACTTCAACAGAACAGCATAGTAAATTTCAAACCATTTTAATTATTTCTTTTCACTATCAGTGATTTTCATTTGTTAAGTTTCTAATCCCACCCCCCAAAAAAGCATTAGACTGGTAGTAAAATTCATAGTAGATACAATATCATTTTGGGAAATGACAATTCATATGTAATGCCACCAGAAAACTATCAACCACATTAGAGATTATCTAGCAGAATTATACACTTTAATCAGAGTGGAGAGGAAAAAAAGCCAAGGGATGTCTTCTAATCCCAAGTAAATACCCATGAACAGCAGGCCAAAATACCCCCCAAAATCAAAGAAAAAGGCTGTGCATAAAAGGTAACACCCACTTCTTCCTAAGGATGTTGAGTTTATTTAAGACCACACCTTTCAGCTACATAAGTGAATCCATCCGGGCAGTGTCACTGATGAGAGAACTTCCTAAGTATTTAATTAAGGGGAATGAAATCTGACATCACATGCTTTATACATGTGTGTTTCTACAGACCTGGCTTTCAGAGATGTGAAGTTTCAAGTCATAAACCTGGCAAGAATGCAGGTGAAAGATGGTAACATTCTGTGCTTGCAAATTACTTACAAACGACCAGTGGCTTGGATTTAATCATGATACCACTGAAATAAAAAACCACTGATGTGTGTGCAAAATCAAAGCAAAATAAACCAAACCAGAACCAAAAAAAAAAAAAAAAGATCATCTCTCAAAAATCAAACTAACCTGAAATCACAGAATAAAATTTTTCTGACATGTGAATGTTATCAAACCTGGGGAGTAAATACGATAAAAATATGTATTTCACATAGACAAAATAACCATGGACCAATTCCACCAGACGATGAGGCTACATAACCTAAACATCACATTGTCTCTTGTGGCACAAACCTGTTACTATCCATAACGCAAAGAGGCCACTGAAGTTGACTGTGTGTATGCCAAACACCAAAATGTACATTTCAGTCAGAGGACACTGAGGAGTTAAGAAATATGACGGCGAATTAGTCAGAAATGCCTTAAAAATGGAACCTCATCATGCTTGCTACACCAGCTTTCTCTTTCCTCCTCCACCTTTTTGCAAATTTGGGGATATTAGTCACTGTGCTGAACTGCAGCATTTAATACAGGAGACAGGCTTCTTCAATAACCTGGCAAGTTTAAGAGAGAACCTCGGAGTTGGAGAGGAAATATCCCGGAAGACTAGCTCTACAGAGCTTTTCTGAAGCCGGCCTCACCTTCCACCCAAACTGTTCTCAAGCCTTTCCAATCACCAGTAACAGAGGCAGGCCAGGAAGAGGAACACATGTTACGTTTCAAAGGCAAACAAGTTTCAAGAATGTACACAGACTGACAAAAGAAAGCCAGAGCAGCCCCGAAGCTCCAATCTGCTCTTCCCCAGCTCAGCTCACAGGCAGCCTTCAAACCAGCTCCCCAAGGCACCCAGGCACTGAGCTGGTTCCCCGGCGACCCCCTCCAATCGGGGACCCGGGCCCGCACGCGGGACGCCCCTACCCCCACCCCCAGAACGCCCACCGGCTCCGGGCGGCGTGTGCGACCTCGGTGCTGCCGCCGGGGACTTTGAATCGGGCTGGCGGGCAACTGCAGCGGCAAATGCCTCCTCCGGCCCCGGCCGCACGAGGGAAAGAGCCCAGATTTCCCCAGCCGCTCCGGCGCGGGGAACG